TCTATTCCTGCCCTCGATAGAAAATACTTCCAAGTTGTCTTTGCAGTTTCTGATTTAAAAAACAAGTGCTGAAGAGATTCCTTGTCAGTTGTACACAACACCAACATTTTGATGGCATGCAGTAGCCTACCCTTTTCAAGAAATCATCTAAAGGTAGCTTTGCTTTCCACACTTTCCACATGAAAATGCTATTTTAAAAGGCAGTCCCTTTACCCAAATCATTCTATAAGTTTTTCTTGGTTCGTCTCTTCTTCTCGTATACTCCCATGCTGACTTAACATTGAAATATCCTCTTGTTTCCAGCATCCAAAAAGGCCTGTCAAGAACCTGCATCGGTGAAGGTGGTTTGATTTTCTCCATAATGTGTACTGCTAAGTCTTTAGGAAGCATTTCAAATAGCCTGTCCACATCCCACTCACCATCTAAGGTAACATCATTTACATTATGTACATTTTCATCAATGCCAAAGTCCTGAGGAACTAAAAAATATAGTGCCCCAAGTTTTCATACCAAAATAGTGAGGATCCCATTTTTGTTTGCCAAAGAATTTGATGTTCAATCAGATCTCTGTATTCCAACATTTTTCTCCAGATGTGAGACCCCCTTTTCCACGGAACAATTACAGGATTTAATTTTTTACAGTATTTCTGACATACGAAAGAGCTCCATAGGCTCAGTTTTGTTCTGAAATTCCACCACAACTTGCTGAATAATGCCTTTGCTACATCATGCATTGACCTGAAACCTATTCCTCCTTCCTCAATTAGCATGCATAAGGTATTCCATAAAGCCCAATGCCTACTAGTTCCTCCTACAGTGCTGCTCCAGAAAAACTGAGCAAACAATTTGTGCAACCTATTTATCACATACTTTGGAGGGTTTACAGCTGATAGTAGATGCATAGGCATGCTTTGAAATACATGGGATATGAGAACTGCCCTGCCCCTACTGATAATAACTTGCCCTGCCATGATTGCAGTTTGTCCATTACCTTAGTAATTAGGGGCTGATAGAATTCCAGCTTTCTCCTTGCATAAAATATCGGACAACCTAGATATATGATAGGGAAATCATTCCTATGAATGCCTGTGATCCTTTCCACCTTGCTGACCACTTCCATGTCTGTTAAATGATGCAGGTACACAGCTGATTTGTTCTTGTTAACAAGCTGCCCCGATGCATTTTCATATGCCTTCAGCACTTGCATAATCAGCATCAGAGATGTTTCATCTAAGGATGAGAAGATAATCATGTCATCTGCATACGCCAAATGATTGATCTTTGGACTCCACTTTGGCATCCCAAATCCACAAAAATACAGGTTAGTATGTAGTGCATTGAGACCCCTAGATAATGCTTCTGCTGCCAATATAAACAAAGTTGGAGATACAGGATCACCTTGTTTTA